TAGTTCAACCCACTGTTTGTTTCAGGAACAGAAAGCAAAAAAGGTTTGGTGTCCCTGCCAGTTTTAATTGTCACACACTTTGATTCCCACTTACCTGCTTCTCTGGTAGCAGGAAGCTGAATATTTTCTGACCAGCCCCAATTCCGATATAGCATTGCTTGAAGGCTAGGTGAAAAAAAGGAGAAAAGGGAGGTGCTCAGAGCATGGCAGGCTGGCTTCACCAGGGAAAGAAAGACAGGAGGAAAAGGAGGAGTGGGGAGAACAAGGGAGAATGACAAAGGCAGGAAAAGGGAGTCCAGCCCTGATCCCTCCCCTCTGCGGCCTTTCCACACACATTTTTAATGGGGGAGCATACAATAAATTGCACATGTTTGGTTAAGATGTAATCATTTTGGTAAAAAAAACAACAACAAAATAAAACAAAAATGACAGAACCAGTTAACTGTTTTGAATGACACCACTGGAGAGAATTCGAGAAATGGCATTACGGGATTTATGATGCAACTTCACCAATCTTGTCTTCTGTCATTGTTGTTGTTTATTTGTTCAGTTGCTTCCAACTCTTCGTGACCTCATGGACCTGCCCACGCCAGAGCTTCATGGCCACCCCCAGCTCCTTCAAAGTCAAGCCAGTCACTCAAAGATATCATTCATCCATCTTGCCCTTGGTCGACCCCTCTTTCTTTTTCCTTCCATTTTCCCCAGCATCATTGTCTTCTCCAAGTTTTCCTGTCTTGTCATTATGTGGCCAAAGTACTTCATCTTTGGCTCTAATATCCTTCCCTACAGTGAGCAGTTGGGCTTTATGTCCTGGAGTATGGACTGATTTGATCTTCTTGTAGTCCAAGGCACTCTCAGAATGTTCCTCAAGCACCACAGTTCAAAAGCATCTATCTTCCTTCACTCAATCTTCCTTATAGTCCAGCTGTCATTAGGTTACTACGGGAAATAACATTGCTTTAACTATGTGGATCTTTGTTGCAAGTGTGATGTCTCTACTCCTCACTACTTTATCGAGATTGGTCATTGTTCTCCTCCCAAGAAGTAAACATCTTCTGTCAGTATTATAAAAATTGCCACTATTGCAAGTTATGGTAGAGCTTTGCCAGTGTTCCCAGTTCTCCTTCTTGCTCCTGTGCAGTCCTTTAAAAGTGAGTTTTTCATAGTCTATCTATGATTACACAGTAGGGTCTCGGTAAGTGTGGCGTCATGTGAGCAGCTCTGCGAGGGTTTCTTTTCTTTAGAGGAAACATGTCAGTAAAGAACTGATAAGATGAGTGGGTGGTACCTTGGGCTGTTTTCCTTTAGACACTACGACGGAATGTGAGTTTGCGTTAGTTGATGGCGCCCGCAATTCACTTATGCCAAAGAGGGCTGCTTGACAGCTGCATAAATCAAGCTGCTAGATGCCTCGATCCCTGCATAAGAATTTATACCACCAGACCACCCAAGCACTGCTCAGAGGCCGCCCCCAGTTGTAATAGGGCCTTCACAGAAATACAGTAATGCAATTCTCTTTCATCCCTTCTCTTTTCTTTGATCAAAATGTAGATCATTTCTCTTGTTGAGGATTCATCTGTATCGATCCTAGTTTGGATACATTCCTGGTATGTGAATGTTCTGAACTGCTGAGGGAGAATTTTTCTGTGAAGAAAAAAGAAAGATTTGCTCCAAAAAGACCTACATGGAATTATAGGCCAAATGGGCCACTTCACCCAACCACATTCTGCCACACAGGAATACACAATCAAAGCAGATGGCCATCCAGCTTCTGCTTGAGAAAACTCCAGAGGCGTCACCATATTTTAAGGCAGCATATTCCACTGTCAAACAGCTCTTATCATCACAAAGTTTTCCCTAAAGCTTAGGTAGATGTTTCCCCCTATAGTTTAAATTTGTTGTTCTACATTTTATTTTTTGGAGCAACAGGAAAAAGTATCTTCCACAATAGAATAATTCAGAGTGTGAAAAACAGGCTGTGAAGTACAACAAGATCTGTATTGTCAAAGGCTTTCATGGCCGGAAGCTAACACCTTCCAACAAAGAATTCCTCCAGACAGGAATCAGACAGTCTTTGAAGCTGCAAATGCCATTCAATGCTAATCAAGGTGGCCAGTTGCAACATTCACATTTGCCTCAAGCAGACAAGAGTTCTTTCATCTACCCTGCATGTTGTGAATAACTTTTATTCACTGGAAAAGAACATCCCATCCTCATCGCCAATTTGTCATGAATAACTTTTCAATAACTTGAAAGCATAGGTTCTTTTATTGCAATTTCCAGTGTGAGAGGGTATATCAGAACTTTTACAAAACTTTTACACTTTTACACAAAGAAAGACATTAGACATATAGGCATACAGATTCTATGCAACTACATTGGATTCACAAACAACTTACAGTTACATTGGCTAACAAACAAACAAAGGATAGTTACATTTTCAATCACCATTCACTACGAGGGATCACCTAGCTAAGTACAGTGTAGATACACTATTGGAAAGCCTTGTTCTGGTGACAGTTGTAGAAACATGTAGTTTGCATTACTGCAGAGTTAAGTTAAATGTGGTGAGTCTAAAGGTAAAGGTTTCCCCTTGACATAAAGTGTCCGACTCACAGGGTGGTGGTGATGGTGCTCATCTCCATTTCTAAGCTGAAGAGCTGGTGTTGTTTGTAGACATTTCCAAGATCATGTGGATGGCATGACTGCATGGAGTGTTGTTACCTTCCTGTGGGGTGGTACCTATTGATCTACTCACATTTTCATGTTTTCAAACTGCTAGGTTGGAGAAGCTGGGACTAACCTGCTCCCTTGATTCGAACCACCAACCTTTTGGTTGGCAAGTTCAGCAGATCAGCGGTTTAACCCGCTACACCACTGGGGACTCCTTTGGTGAGTCTAAGTGTTTGTAAAATGCACATTATTTTGTATATTGTTTATACTGAATGTTGTTAATGCAAGTGTAAAAAAATAAATAACATTTAATTTCTAAAAATCCTGCAAATTAGGCTTAAGATAGAAACAGGAGTGCTTAGGATAAAAGAAACCTTATATTTACTCTCTCAGGGAATCAATCTTGAAATGGGAACAAGATAGATAGAAAGGAACTTAGCAATACTTGGTTCCAAGAAAGCTGTCTGTCATCTGTGTTGTCATCTTTGTTCGGTAAACTACCAGTTATTACTGAGACTGGATCTCCATGTTCCTAAGTAAAAGGAACAAACAGATGAATCACCTTCTTTAAGAGGAAGGAGGAGACTTCAATAGGAAAGAAAGAGGCAAGTAGCCTCAGGACAAAAAAGAGAGGGAAAATGAAAGGAATAATCTATTACCCAATTGCCTCCTCTTCCACTGATCATTCAGTGTGAGTGTTGATGCTTCTTTCCTTACAAAAATAAAAAGTATACACTGATGAGCACTGACTGATGCTGCTTTTTATATATGCCTTGTAGAGGAAAGCATTATCTAAAGTTCAAACCTAAGTATAACCACAGAATACACATCTGAAAGTAATCCAATATTCCTCCAGGACTCAAAACACTTTTTTTTTGCTCTTGCCACCATTTCAGGTAGTTCAAAAATGGTCATTGTAGTGCTCTTCCAACAGTCATTAGTCAATCCCTCTGCAATGCCAGAAACACGGCTTAATGATGTAACGTTAGAAACCGTTGACCATTTCCACTGCTTTGGTAGCCACCTCTTCACAAAAGTCAGCATTGGCACTAAAATACAACACCTCCTGAACTCTGTGAGTGCAACATTCTTCTGAATGAAGCAGAGAGTGTTTGAGGACCAGGACATCTGTAGGGAGACCAAGGTGTTTGTTTATAAAGCTATTGCCCTCCCAATAGGCTTGTGAAACGTGGACCATCTACAGATGTTACATTCAACTCCTGGAACAATTCCATCAGCGTTGCTTTCAAAAAAATCCTGCAAATTTCTTGGGAAGACAGGTGGACAAATGTCAGCATGCTGGAGGAAGCAAAGACCACAAGCACTGAAGTGATGCTCCTATGCCATCAACTCAGGTGGACTGGCCATGTTCTCCAAATGCTCGATCACCGTCTCCCAAAGCAATTACTATACTCCCAACTCAAGAATAGGAAACCTAATGTCGGTGGACAGGAAAAGAGATTTAAAGATAGGCTTAAAGCCAACCTTAAAAACTGTGGCATAGACACAGAGAACTGGGAAGCCTTGGACCTTGAGTGCTCTAACTGGAGGTCAGCTGTGATCAGCAGTGCTGCAGAATTCGAAGAGGCACGAATAGAGGGCCAAAGGGTGAAATGTGCCAAGAGGAAGGTGCATCAAGCCAATCTTCACTGGGACCTCCTTCTACCTGGAAACTGATGTCCTCACTGTGGGAGAACATGCGGATCAAGAATAAGGCTCCACAGTCACCTATGTACCCACCACCAAGACACTAAACTTGGAGGGCCATCATTCTTGAGCTGGGAGGTATTGCCTAAATAAGTAATATTAGGTTAGGCTCCAATTCCATGTTTATAGTGAAATCTCTTGATAACAATTCTAAAAAAATCATTAAAAAGAACAACGAGATTTAATTTTGTGTAATGTGCTGAACGACATATTTGTTCCAAGGGTTCCAGTAATTGATTCAAAACTTCTGCTTTTTGAAATTCAGCCTCTGCCATTCTATCCAGGAAAGGAATAAGGACGAGACAATATATTCCTATTTCAGTAGGAACTTTCTAAATATCTTGATGAACCTGAAGGAAATAACTAGAAGGGGTTTTTAAACATTAGTTTTCTTTTTAAACAGACAGTGGAAAACAATGAGGTTAAAGTCAGATTCTCCCATTGAGTTGGAGGAGTTTGAATTCTTAATTCTTGGGGGTCTGGTTCTAACTGTATTTCTTCTGCTGAACTTGAGCTCTGCCCTCATGTTTTACCACAGGAATGTTTTAGAGGAAGGTTGAAATGCATAGTATCCACATTGCTTTACATAATTCTTTGTACATATTGTTTCTTTTATTTAAGAGGGAGTGGTACTTTAGCCAAAGTCTGTACACATCATTACATCCAAATTCTACTGTGAAAATAGTTGTCCTTCCCAAAGTAGTGGAAATAACAAAGAAGCATTTGGCAACATCAAAGGAACATCATATTACTTTCCAGGAAGGTAAGATGTAACTTGTTCTGAGATTCGAAGTAGAAAATGCGTAAGGTAGCGCCGCTCCCCATATGTGCCTGCCTGATTATTAAGAACATCTGGAAGGGCCCTCCTCCATGTCCCATCACAGAGGTCAGAATGCTGTGCCAGAATATGTGAGAGAGCCTTCTCAGGTATGGCACCCATATGGTGAAATGTTCTCTCCCTGGAGGCCTGACTGGCAGTAACACCATGGCTTTTAGATACCAGGATAAAACATGGTTGTTTGCCAAAGATGCCGAGCCTCATTAATTTAATCCAAATACTGGTATAAATAGCACAATGCCCTTGTCCTTGAATTCGATATTCACAGTTTCACTTCTGTGCTTCAAAAAATAAATAATAATAACCTGCAGAACTTTTTATTGACCTCTCTTAGGTCCTGTTGAACACTGTAGATCTTGTAATACAGTATTTGTAACATTCACAGGTCCCTAGTTCGTTTCAGATAGCATTTAAGCAATTCTAATCTACAACCATTAGTAAATTGTATGAAATCTGACTAAATTAATGTACTCTCTAAGTCTAACCAATCTTCAGGTGTTGTGGAGCAAGACTGCAATTCTTCAAAGAAAGATTCCGGCTAAGAATTAAAGGACCATTTCACACAGCCCACAGGGGCTGGGTTGTAGCATCGGGAATTGTCAGCAAAAGGGAAGGTGTGCAGGGTAGCTCATGATGACCCCACGCGCTCTCCCTCCTTCCCCATCACATGGTGGGGATGGGACAAGCTGTGTTGGCATCCTGTCCCTATCAGATGGGAGCAAGGGTGGCAACGCAGAGCAACACATGTTGCCCCATCACCCTTTCCCCCATCATATAGGGTAAAGGGGAGGAAACTGCAAGTAGCTTTGTCAGAACTACCCAAAACACCCTTTCCTCCATGTGGTGGAGGAGGAAGCACCTTCTGGCTCTTCCCCTCCACTTTGGGAGGAATGTGGGCACAGCCTGCTGTGCGTTGCTGATGGTGCTCAGCAGGTCCCGTCTGCTGAGCACCATTTTGCCCCATGTGAAGAGGCTGAAAGTGAAAGTAGAAAAGTAACATCTTCAAGCTGATTTCTACAAAAAATATCAGGTATAAGTCTAGAAATTTTAGTAAAAAAACAGTGCAAAAAAAAAACCTGGATCAAATTATCCATTGATTACTATGGGTATTGTATCTTAACACTTTATCCAACCTTTCCCTTAGAATCATAGAATCAAAGAGTTGGAAGAGACCTCGTGGGCCATCTATTCCAACCCCCTGCCAAGAAGCAGGAAAAACGCATTCAGAGACCTCTGACAGATGGCCATCCTGTCTCTGTTTAAAAGCATCCATAGAAGAAGCCTCCACCACACTCCAGAACATAGAGTTCCCCTGCTGAATAGCTCTCACAGTTGGGAAGTTCTTCTATCATTTGTGGTAGAGTGGGAAAAGGCAAGAGATTGGTGCATCTCAGGAGAAGTCAAAAACTAAACCCTTGTACTCTCTCTTCTGTGGTGCAGCTTCTGGACTTTTTTTAATGTCCTAGCAGGGAAATTGTTGGTGGGAATGATCAGGGTCATCTGGATCTGAGGAGCCATTTATATTTTCCTCTTTCTATGGAATGACCCTAAACTTATACATGGGTCATATCAAAATCCATAATTTAGGCCTCCAAACCTGCCCTCAGCAATGCATGAGAGCAATTTATACATGAGTCAGCCCCGTAGCCAGGATTTTGATTGGGGGGGGGGCTGAGTTTGATTCGGGGGGAGAGGGGGGGTGTCTGAGTGAGAGAGGGTCTACCCTAGCAAACCTTTTGTATCATTATCCCAATACCCCTATGCATATGGGATATATTGAGCATGGTGATCAGATCATGATATGAATAAACATAACAGTTTAAATAATGTACCAGTAAGGCCTTCTCGCGGACCACCCTGAGAATTTGGGGGGGGGGGGACTGAAGTCCCTCAAGCCCCCCCCCCCAGCTACATGACTGACATGGGTATATAAGTAACTACTTAACAAGTAACTGTTAACAAGTAACATGTAATGTCTTAGGTGTGCTCTTTTCACAGTTCAAAAAAGCACAACTACCAGTCCAACTAGGTGTGATTCTCCAAAAGGATTCTAAACTATATTTGAGATTTTTGTTCTCAGAGAGTCAATTTACATTTAAGGCCAGGGTTAGGGAGCTATGAAATAAAAAATAAACAGTATTAGCTTAAATGGTGAGGCATTGGAGAACCCCTTACATTTTTTAAAATAGAAATGTTTTAAATGCTTTTCAATGATATTTAGAAATAAATTCTTTGAAATCCCCCCCCCCCCTTTTCTCCCTAGAAAGCTTATATTTGTGTTTCATTTTAGGTACACTTGTGTATTTTCCTGTTTTTTCACATTGAGTACATTTTTCTCCACCTTACATCTGTACTTGAACATCACTATTGCTCATTTCCCCAAAAGTTAGTGAGTCAACTCCGAGTTCTTCTTCCTTTTCACATAGTTCAGTTTATATGGGGACAACTGTGGCATATTTGAGGAAATGCAATAATTCCATTTTTGGCTTCAAACGCTTGACCATTTCCTAAATGCCCCTTGTTTTGCAACAGAGACATTTAGCAAGTAGGACACAGCAGTAATATAAGAGAAGTCCTTTGTAGAGGACAGAAAGCTTATTTCCTTGAGAAACAGCAAAAGCACGTAAACACCTGAAGAGGAGCTCTCAGAGAGAACATTGAAGAAGGATGGACTGTACAGAAGAAATGATTCAAATCTTATTTCAGCATCAACATGGATTTCTCATTACAAAGGTGAGAGGAACTAATAATATCTGTATAAATATTAAAGCTTTAATCTGTATAAATATTAAAGTTTTATTAAACGTGTGACATTAAATATATTTTAAATCTTTGCTTCATTAAATGTAAACAACAAATGTCTTGTTGGAATCATAGCGTGGATTAAATTTGTCGTTGTTTTGCCCAGAAGATAAAACTGATGGCAACCCCACAAAGAAAGAATAATTAACACTTTATAAGGATACCATCAAATGCACATTCCACTAGATTGTACTTACTATTTCACTTGATGGCTCCCTTTTCCTCTTATGCATTGTGATTAAATGTGTTATATCCATGAAATCTCTTTGTTACTTTGCTAATGACATTCTGGGACTGGGAACACTTAATCTTTAATATTGATACAGTTGAATATCTTCACTATTCCTTTGGCTTGTCTGGGGAAAGGAGATGTGGTGCAATGGGGCTAGAGCAAATTGACATTGCCCCTCTGGACTCTTCCAGTTAGATTTTCATATACGATTTCATTTAAGCACTTGATTGTGCAGCTCTTGTTAAGAAACCTCCCAAGACGCCACTGCTGGGCCAGACCTAAAATATGACACCTTTTGCATATCACCCTGTGGATATGACAATTACTTGTGGACACTCTGAATAAGCTTGGGAAGATAGCTAACCTTTTTATCATCTGGGCAGTATCTTCAAGAAGAAGTCGTCCAACTGCTTTTTGTTGAAGACAAGAGGAACGGTACATTGAGGAGAACAGGGGATTTTTAAAAGCTCAGGGTATAGTGACTTCATGTGGCGTTTAAGGCATATGTGAGTAGAGATCAATTTAGTTCTCATAGTAAAACTTACAGGAGAAAAAAAGAAAATGGTTCAGTCATGTGGTCTCTAACTACACCAGAATTCTGGAAAATGTAGTTTATGATGGGCCTTTTGAATTCTCAGCCATAGAGGTCCTTGACTTCCCAAATTACATTTCTCAAAATTCTGCAAGTGGCAGAAATGCAGTGTTGCCTGCTTTAAAGTCCTGGTGTGATAATGTAGCAATTGCAATGCAGAGTGATTGGATTCAGTCCTTGTGTGGTTACTTCCTGTGTGTAAAGATGGGTGAGAACTGAAGCTGGGGACATATTAATACAGACTTTAGTGAATTCCTTGTATCTTGTATTTTACCTAAAAGGGACAGAGGCATTCTATATCTTATAGGTCATAGTTCTAAGTTAAAATCTGAGTTGCTTCTCCAAAGTCATATTAGTTGGGCACTGTTGATGGCACATTTTAAACAGTGTTCGAAAAGTCTATTCTGCAGAGCAGTTTTTCAAACTGTGCTCCGTGGAGCACTTGGTGCTTCACAAAAAGTAAGGATTTTTTCAAAAATGATGATGATTTAGAAATAAATCAGAAAAAATCTCAATATAGTGATTTTTTGCACCCATGAGTGGAGTGTAGAAAAGTATCAAGTGTTGCAGCCCAGCCATCTACTTGATTCCTTTTTCACCCAAACACTACAAAGATGAACAAGAATAGTAAGTTGATTAAGAAAAGGGTATCTAATATAAAAGCAGTTTCAGAATACATGCATGAGCTAGATTTCTAGAAGTTTAACAAAAAGCAATGACCAACTCTGAAAAGGAATTACAAAAATTACTTAAGGCAAAAACAAGAAACTGTAATCCAAGGTTTGTTACACTTATACTAGAATTATATCAAAAAGTTTGAAAGCATGAACACGATCATAACCCAAAGGCTTGATACTTGAACTTGACTATAATTCCAAAGACTTGAAACTTGAAACAAGAGTTGTAATCCAAACAGAAGGCATGGAACTTAAAAAGGAAAACAAGATACAGACTCAAGAACAGAACTCCTAACTCAGAGCTCCCAAGACAGGCAACTTCACACATGAAACTGATTTTCCCCACCAAACACTGACACCAATTCCTTAAGAATACTCCCTCCTGCCCATAACACCACTCTTTCTCACACCTGGGTTCCCTTTGTTTATCTTTCAATCTCTGGGAACACCAGATTTTCCTGTTTAACACAATCTCTTCTGATCTGTAAATGCTGGGTTATCTGTAACCTTCCTGTTTCCTTCACATTTCTTTCAGAGTTAATCCCTGGCTGATTCTCGTGAGAATCACTGCCTGTTTCCCCGACAACAGATCTACCCAAAACAGTCCCATTATCTTGAAAAACACTTTTGCTTTCTCTCACAGAAACATTGGGCTCAACCAGAAAATCCTTGTCCTCATCCTCAGAGGCTTCATAGGCTTCAACATCGAGTACAGTAGATAATTTAGGAGCTTCCATGTAAAATATAAACTATAGAGTCTATAGCATGCCAGTTGGTTCCTGGGAACCAAAGTGTGAAATTGGTGGAGAAAATAAAAAATAGAATAATAAAATTTAATGTCTTGCATTCCTAAATTGTGAAACTACCTTGCTTCATCAATATTATTATCATTTAATTTATCAAAAACAGTGTGCATCTGTGAGATGAAATTTTTTGTTCTGCCTTGAATTTCACATGTCTAAGGTTTTCCATGACTGAAAATATTTGAGAACCCCTGCTCCAGAGCATCCTTTTACCCCTTATAACATGACAGAGCAGGAGAATAAGCATTAATTTACTGTAAATCTGGGGTTCAGAAAATAAGCCTGGAAGGAATATGGCTAGCAGGACCTTGAAATTCAGGGAAGCACAAAATTGTTATACAGTATTGACAAGAGACTGACAGGAAGTTCAGTTTGGAAAGGGTCCTTCCAGTACCTATTGATACAGCAATAGGGTTTTGTTTTGTTTTTTTTGTGGCCAAAGCATCTTGTGTCTTCCTTACAATATTTTCAGTATTGCATTTGATCACTTTTGCTCTGTAGGTAGAGGATGTTTGTTGATCCCTTACAAATCTAAAATGGACAATAACAGCACACAACAGTTACAAAGTTAACCATTACAAATATAAAAGTATCTGAATTTTCCCTCTTCCTTTTATTCCTTATGTTTGCAGATTATGTCTACTGCCTGTGAATTAGGAGTATTTGATTTACTTTTGGAGTCAGGAGGCCTTCTCTCCTCGGCAGAGATTGCTGAACGCCTGGGCACCAGCCACATGGGACTGCAAAGGCTACTGGAGGCCTGTGTGGGTTTAAAGTTACTGAGAATGGAGAGGAAGGACAATGAAGGTAATCACATCAGGAAAAGAGATCAACTTGGATTGTCTGTTGGTGGGAAAACATTGCAGGGATTGATAGCAGGGTTGCCAGTTAAGGATCATTCCATATCCTGTGGCTTCTGATCCAAAATCTGCAATCTAGAGAAGGCCCCGGTTTTGCATTATGTACCAGCCCTTTGCATCAAGTATCAGTTTTTAATGGTAGGGTTGCCTCCTTGTTTTCTACCTGCAGATGACCCCTCTCCCCCCCAAAACCCCCTAGAGCAGATGTTTTGGCCCACAACTCACAGAAATCCCAGCCAGTTTACCAGCTGTTAGGATTTCTGGGAGTTGAAGGCCAAAAAATCTGGGGACCCACAGAACTACTGTGGGTCCCCAGTAAAGAACCACTGCCCTAGAGACTGAGGACCAAACTGTGAAATCAGGCAATTCTTTGTTGTTGTGTGCCTTCAAGTCACACCTATTGCAGGGTGTTCTTTGCAAGATTTGTTACGAGTGGGCTTGCATTTGCCTTCTGTGAAGGCTGATAGAGTGTGACTTTCCCATATTAAGCCAGTGACTTTTCACAGCCTAGTAGAAATTGAAACCCTGGTCTCCCACATAGTCCAATGCTCCAATCACTACACCAAGCTGGCTCTCCCTGCTTGTCAGCTATCTGGAATCCTACTTCTCTCAGAGTTTGACAACATTATGTTTTGTCTCTTTTAAAGGTTTTTATGGAAACACACAACTTGCTAACCTCTGCCTTGCTAAATCAAGCTCAAGGTCACAGTATCAATACACAAGGTTGTGCTCTGAGTTTATTTATACGAGTTCACAGTACTTGACAAAAGCTGTAAGGTAAGTAAGAACAAATTATCAGGGGTGGAAACCTTGTCATGTGCTGTCATATGTCATATGTTGGATTACAACAACTGTATCATTGAGGTTCCTTCACTGTTATATAAAATCCAGATTATCTGTTCTGAAGTGGATTATGACAGTGTAGACTCATATAATCTAGTTTAAAGCAAATAATTTGGATTGTGGCAGTTTAGTAAGGGCCTGGGGGATGTCTAAGCAACTCAGGTTTGAACAGCCCTGATCAAGTCTTGCAAATCTGGACTGCAGGTTACTTTGCTGAATCAGTCCATCCAAAATACACCTAATTTTTTTCTTACTGTCTTGAGTTTGATTACCTTTTCAAATTAATAAATTCATCTTGTGAACAATAGTCATTATGGTTTCAAGTAAAAGTTCAGACTTGTTATGTTTTGCAATCTTTTTGGCAGTCCATGGTATCCATAATTTTCAAGTTCCATATTACATATTTCTGATTTTTCTTCTTTTATCAGGTTTCCACCCTTTTCATATTTTACATCTATACATTAAAATATGAAATGCTATGGTACAGATAGATAATTCTGGTATTGATCTGCAAAACAGTATCTTTACATTGCGGTAATTTACCTACTTTCTTCACAATTGCAGTTCACTAGTCTTCTAATTTCTTGAGTGGAATCTCCATTCTGAGTGATGACTGAGTGAAGGCATAGACAATCTTTAACAGATTTGCATATTACAAAAATGGATTTCCCCTTGAAAGTAATATGCTTAACAGCACAGGCATAGCATGTTGAGGAGATAGGCAACATGAATTAGGCCATTTGGGAAGGCATGTGATGCTGTCGGGCCAAGGGTGGTGAACTCAACAACTGGCCTCATTCACAAAAACCTTGAAAAACAAGGGGGATGTTTTGAAGGCCTTAATGAGGTCAGTTGGGAACTGCATGGGACTGAGCCTAGGGAGGGTGAGTAAGAGATCCTGAGGGCCATCCAGAAGATGGAATTGTGGCTAAGGAGCAAGGACAACTGGGTCACCAGTTGGGTGCTTCTTCTCTGGGTACCATGGAGCCCTGAGGCTGCCATCAACACCAGGAATAGCCTCTTTGCACCCCTCTCCCTTCTCCCTGTCTGGTCTCTGGGGTTTCAAGTTCTTCTGAGCCTTTTCACACAGGAGAGTGTATGTGATTCTAATACATCATTGAATCTAATGTGCGCCTCAATTTTGTCAATGTAATTTAGCCAAAAAGGTGAGCATTAGACTCAAGCAATCATATTATTTTGCTTTCTTGATATCAGCTGCATTCCTGTTTGTGCCTTTCTTTTTTCACTATTTTTTCAATAGTTCCAGGTCCTTGCTAGTTATATGGTATAATCTCATTGGCCCAGGCTTCTGATGTTTCTTCTTCATACTTCTTTCACCCAAGTCCAAATTGTTCTCTCATATATATTCCATGCATACATTTAACAGACACAGTGATGAAATGCACCTTTCATTCAGAGTGCAGGTTGAACATCAGGACAATCATTTTTTTCATATTATATACAGACAAAGGCTTTGTTGCACTCTATGAAGCACAGATTCATTTTCTTCTGAAATACTTGATATGCTTGATTAGCCAATATATTTGTGCAATATGATGTCTAGTACTTCTTCCTTTCAGAATCTAGCTCAAATGCTTGACATTTCTTGCGCGATGTATGGTAACATTTCTACCTCCTTCCTTCCTTTTGGATTATTTCTCTCACACCATGCCTTCGCATGGCATCCTTCTCATCTTTCTTGCACTATGTTATTGCACACCACATCTTCCCTTCTGTCTCCCTCTCCTCTGCTTCACCTTTTACCTTTGTAGTGCTTACTCCCTTATTTCTTGTACTTGGCAGGGACACTTTTCACTTCTGCTCCTCTTCTCCTTTTCTTGTCTCAAACTCCCAAGCCCCCCCCCCCCTTTCTTGCTGCTTCACACATCCATTTGCATTCTTCCTTTCCCCCCTTCTTCCCTTTCCCCATCTCATACAGCTTTGCCTCCCGGCCTTTGCACCTTACCCCTGCTCAATGCATCTTCTCCTTCTTGCTCCTTAAACCCAGCTGGAGGGCTAAAGTCAATTCCTCCTGCACAGCTATTCTCACCTTATGATACTAACTTTTAAAAATAAATAAGGATAACACTTGGCAATTTTTATCTGTTCCATTTCAGGGAAGGAAAACACCAGGTTCAATTGATGTTTGACACTTCAGAAAAAGATATTTATAAGAACTTTTCAAGGTAAATATTATATTTTTCTGTTTGGTGCTCCTTTTTGTATATTGACATAATCCTTATGAAAATATGCAAATAATGTTGGCCTGGAAGAGATCCTACATCACAGAGACAGAGTCTAACTTTAGACTCACAGTGTTACATGATTGTGCCTGATTGCTACATGATTTCCAGTCACACTTCCAGCTCTCTCTTATAGGACTACATTATTCTAAAGAACATTCCAGACAGGCAAAATGATTAATACGTTTATTGTTTTCTTTTAAAAATAAAGCAATACAATTGTATCTGAAATCTGAATCCCAGCAACATCCTAACTTGTTTTGAAAGGGATACTAACCAAATATATATGTGTACAGGCTGACCTTAGATATAAAGTAAGTTGAGGGAAGATCTGGAAACCAAAATTATGGATTTTTATGTGAACTTTGAAGGTCCTGTGCAAAGAGGGGAAGCAGTAGCACCTCTCAGGGGATTGGCAAGTGCTGCCCACTGCAAAAATGGTTCTGAGCTAAAGTGAGTAGAGCAGTTATTCCCAATCTTTTTTTGACCAGGGACCACTTTGACCAGGGACCGCTTTCCAACATTAGTACCAAAAGGGTTACGAATCCATTTTTGATCAACTTTAAATTCGGTTTGCTTATTTGGGGTGCTGATTCAAAAAATCAGCATCCCATCAGCTCTAGTTTCTGATACAGAACATATGCCATCCAGTAGTCACCATCTGCTCACCACAAAAAAACCATATTTTATAAGCCTCAGCACTATAAGAGGGTTTCGCAAGACCAGTCACTGTCGTTGCAATGGTGTAGTAACGGTGAGGCCGCAGACCATGTTTTAATTTTTGCGGATCACTGGTGGTCCATGGACCAAGGTTGGGAACCACTGGAGTAGAGGAGGGCTGCTTTTTAAAAGTTCTTCTGGGATAGACTAAGGGTCTCATCACACTTGAGCATATATCCACTTTAAATGCTGTGACTGCCCCCTGCAGAATTCTGAGGTTTGTAGTTTAGGGAGGGCCAGGGGTTCTCTGGATGAGCAGTTTAAAGGCCCCTCCTGAAACTATAAAATCCAGAATGTTGCAGGAGGTAGTCACAGCATTTAAAGTTGATTAAAGTGGACACATGCTCAAGTGCAATAAGGCCCTAAGCAAGGATAACAGTCTGCTATTCTTCTTAGAAAAGGAGTACAGTAATTACACTTATTTTTCTGCATAGGTTAGCTGTATGTCAGATTTTGTATGCAGCCATCCTTTTAGATTATCTTTCATTCTGATTTTGCTTTCCTAGCTCCAAGGAAGACATTGAAAGATTCCAAGGTGGCATGGAGGATGCCTGGAGTCTCTACGGTCAGGACGTTATGTGTGCATTTGATCTTTCTAGTTTCAACAGAGTTTGTGATGTGGGAGGTAAGCATCAGAAATTCTCAGATGCCTTTCTTATTTGCAGGTTGAGACCCTATTAATTTGGGGGATGATCTCTCAGGTTGATTTTCATCCCTATGATACTTTGATAGTAAAAGCTGAAGTAACTTTCCCCTCCCTCCTGCAACAACCGTGGAATTGTATATTCTACTATTGGTTTAATAGAATACATTCCTTTTTCAGGGAGATTTTTTTGGACATCTTGTTAAGGAGATTTTGTTAAGTTCCAAACGGCTCTAGCCCAGCTTACCTGTCCAAACGGATCTCCCCCTTTGAACCAGCTTGAATGCGAAGATCTTCTGGAAAGGCCCTGCTCTCAATCCCACCCCCATCCAACGATATTAGATTGGCTTCCTCCCTCCTGGTTTTCAAAAGGAAGTTAAAACCTGGTTATGAAATTGGGTATTTGGGCAGTAGCACATCCACAGTGCAATATGCAACCATGAAGTTAAGAGAAACAAATTGGCTTGGTCAATGACTGAGGGATTTGATGCTATGGTGTTAATCAGTTATTTATGATTTTATTGTTAAATGTATTGTATATTTATTTGCTTTTATGTTGCAATGTGGCATTGAATCTTTGCCAAATTAGAAGCCACTCTGAGTCCCCTTTGGGGTGAAGATAGATAAAGGTAAAGATTTTCCCTGACATCAAGTCCAGGGGAAAACCTTTAAGTGGAGATAGAAAAGGGTAAAATGCAGAAAATAAATAAATAAATAAATAAATAAATAAATAAAGGAGCCCACAATTACTAGAAGTTAGCTAGTGACTGTTCTAGAATTGGAGAATTGCTTTAGAAAAGACAAATCTTCCAACTCCCAGCTTGATTCTTCAAATATGTTTCATCAAGGAGGGTTCATATAAATGTCCATTTAGAGGAAGGGGCAACAGAGGACAATCTGAAAATTTGTATGTAATTTATTTGCTCAGAAACTACTTTTTCCAGACAGATCAAAATTGTTCTTATTTTAGTTGCAGAAAGATATGGTTTCTTTTCTAAAATGCTTTAGCTTGGGCAAATTTTTCACAGTTTTATTGTGATTTTATTTTATTTTTGCATAGAAAACTTTTTCTGCTCAGAAAACAGTGTTTTCTGCACAGTTCTGCTCTTTTTTTGTGAGGTACAAGTTCTGATCTGCAAAGATTACTTTCCACGGTTCACTTTCCAGACAAATTCTGGAACACATCTTTCAATTGTTGTTTATTTAAAAAAATCATCCATCCTTAACTCTGGAAAAGTGCTACCAATAGTTAATGCACACTGATATCAGGTCAAGTGAAATGTGTAAAATTCAATGGCGATGGATCTTTGAAACTAGGACTCTATAAAAGATTTCTCCAGCATAACTAGATGTGACAAAATCATATTCTTTTGTTGTTGTTAATGGTTCTCAGGGCTATAAATGATAAACCATTCCAAGTCACCATGTAACAACAGCGCTGCTCAAGTCTTGCACACACAGTGCTGAAGCTTGATTGAGTCTCTCCATCTTTTAATGCAGCCTTCTTTTCCCTACCACCTTTTACCTTGCTAAGCAATATTGTTTTTGCTATTTAGTCATGTCTTCTCATAATATGTCCTTTAGCTCCTAATTATCTGTGACCCTAGCCTTGAAGAAAATTGAAATTTCTAACAACTTTACTTCTCATTCTGTTTTTTTTAAAGGAGGTAGTGATGCCTTTGCCAAACAATATATTGCATTGTACCCAAATTCTACTCTGACCATTTTTGACCTACCTGATGTGGTGGAAAGAGCTAAGAAGCATACTGTGCCCTCAGAGGAACACCAGATTACTTTCCAAAGTGGTGAGATATGGTTATGTGGTTATATATAGCTTTAAACCGTAGATATGTCTTTCTTCTTCAAGAAAAGCACCAATAATCAACAGTGTATATGGTGTATATTATTTTTGGAAGTAAAGAAGCATCATCACAGAGGTATCAGTGGAAAAAGAGTCAATTGGACACTAGATTAGCCCCTCTCTTTTAATGCTGAGGCCAGCTGCCTCTTTCTTGCCCATTGAGGTAACTTATTTCCTCTAAAAGAAGTTGATTCACCTGTTTGTTTCCTTTGTCTGGAAACATGGAACTATGGAGCTCCAACCTCAGTAAAGTTTGGTAGTTTACCCAACACAATTGACAATTTTCCTACAACCAAACATTTCTAAATTCCTTTTATCTATCTCCTTTCTTATCCCAAGATGGATTTCCTGACAAAGTAAATACGAGCGTATGTTCCCTTTATCCTGCGTACTACCATTTGCTACTATGTGCTCCTATAGCATTAATTCCCATCATACCTTGCATGAAACACTATATGTTCCTATATTTGTAACCTGCCCAAAGCTTTCCATGAATTAGAGAGTTTAATACAATTAATGTAGCTTGATACTACTTTAATTACCATGATTTAATGCATTGGAATCCTGGATGTTGTAGTTTGGTGAAGCATCAGCTCTCTTTTGGCAAGGAAAGGTAAATGCCTAGTAAAACTGTAACTCACATGATCCCATAGCATTAGAGCTATAACAGTTGAAGTGGTGTGAAACTGCATTAATTCTACATTATAGATGCACCCTAAGATAACCAAAGGAATGTGATTAGACCCTGTTTGCTGTTGAAGAGCCCTGTTTCCCCACTGATCTTACATGTTTGCCTCATCGCACTGCAAATCATAGGATTTTATAACATTGAGCCAAGGTAGTTTAAGGACTTCCTCACATGCAGTCTTACCAGTGTTGTGATTCGCCAGCCGCCATGGTGAATCAGGGTGGCATCGGGGCAATGCCAAGGATTTGGCCGGCAGCTGATCCTCCCCCATCTCATGTGGGAAAGCATCACCATACAGCTGACGCCTAGAGCAGCCCCATTGTTCCTTACGGACATAGGGCTGCTTTTGTGTTAGTGGTGGCAGCCTTCTACCACACTGTTTCCCCAGTTAATCAATGAAACCCCATCAAAAGTCACCCTACATCGTATGATGGGTGATTTGGGGCTCCATGGATGAAATGGAATGGAAACATTCTAGGATGCTTATTAGGGTTGTGCACAACTCAAAAAACCTGCTTTGTTTGTCTTTAAAAAAATCTCGCGAGCCCAGTTTTGATTGTTAAATGTTTTGGAAAAATCATAAGGGGTCAGTATTAAAACTATTATGAAGTTCCAAAAATGTTGTGGGCTTTTTGTTATTTCCCATTCATGCCAATGGAGGCATTAACGGGGCTCCTCCTTCCCTTAGTTTGAGGGCTATCGTGATTAAATTTGCTACAATTGTAGCACACATCTACTGCACTAAGCTCCCCAAGTGTTATTTATTTATTTGGGGTGCTTCTACCCTGCCCTTCTCAACCCCCTAGGGGGGACTCAGGGCGGCTTACAAAAGGCACAATTCGATGCCTAACAATTCACAAAATACAATACAATATACAATACACAAATTTACCATATAATGTCACAGTTATAACTAATTAAAACAATCAAACAGTATACTAGCAGCAATAAAATCATCTTGTGGTCAATGTTCACCAATTCATGATCCGTCTAGCATCGTCATTGTCCTTTCCTACTCTGGTCGTCATTGTCTTTTGTCCAACTGCCAGCTTACCCAAAGGCCTGGTCCCACATCCAGGTTTTTAACTTCCTTCTGAAGGAGAGGAGGGATGTTGATGACCTAATCTCCCTGGGGAGTGCATTCCACAGGCGAGGGGCCACCACCGAGAAGGCCCTGTCCCTCGTCCCCACCAGTCTCACTTGTGATAAAGGTGGGGCCGAGAGCAGGGCCTCCCCAGAAGATCTTAAACTCCGAGGTGGGACGTAGAAGGAGATACGTTCGAACAGGTACGCTGGGCCAGAACCGTATAGGGTTTTATGTCAAAACCAGCACTTTGAATTGTGCGGAACTGGATCGGCAGCCAGTGGAGCTGACATAACAGTGGGGTGGTATGTTCCCTGTATGACGCTCCGGTGAGTAATCTGGCCGCCGCCCGTTGGACTAGTTGAAGTTTCCGAACAGTCTTCAAAGGCAACCCCACGTAGAGTGCGTTGCAGTAATCTATTCGGGATGTAACAAGAGCGTGGACCACCTTAGAATGTTTTGCTCATCTATTTATTTTTAGGATTTCAAAAAAGTTTTTGCAAACAACATTTTTTTAAAAAATCCTACAAGATCCAACCCCTCAAATTTCTCTATAATAACACACAATAACCAGGGCATAATTCCCCCCAAGTTTCAGAAAGATTTGAACATCCAGGAGATTTTAAAAGTTTTCTTTTCTCTATCCTAGCTTCACAAAATGTAGAAAATCAAAATAATATAGAACTTCAACTGAGAGATTTTTCTCCAAACTAGTCCATCCAGTGTATATTTACCACTTACTAGTATTATTATTATTTACTATATTTGTATACCACCCCTTTCAGCCCAGAGGCAACTCGAGATGGTCCTCTTTGCAGATTCAGTATATTGCTTGGAACTTTTTATCCCATTAAACCGTGTTCTTCTGATACGAACAGAATTCTGGGAAATGTAATTTGGGAAGGCGAGGACCCCTGTGGCAGAGAATTGAAAAGGCCCTGCCCTTAACTACATTTCCCAGAATTCTATTTGCGTTAAAGCCCCAATGTGATGAGGTCAGTATAGCATGTCCCTCTCCTTCAGCCCTGATAGCCTAAGAGACATATCATGTTTAGCTTCTCCCCTCGTACAGTTTGCTTGGGCTGAAAATGCAACTGACTTTGGGAGACTTTTGAGACTTGCTTAACTATTACAAAAAGTTGTAGGTGTTTCAAATTCTTAGTGTTTTGTGTGGGTTTTTAAATTGCTTCTAATGTACATAACATCCGAAATACAAACAAGCACATACCACTTTCTGCACAGCCCTAATGCTTATTTTTCCCCATGGGATGAGGCTAAAAGTGTTTTCAACTGCATCCAGAGTGAAACAATTACCCCATGCAGCAGTTGCTGCATGGTACAGATCCACTGCTGGTTGGGTTCCTAGTGCTCCCTAGATGTGGGAGAACTATAATTCCCAGCATCCAAGGTCAATCCCTCCCAAACCCCACCAGTATTTTCTGTTGGACATTGGGTGTGTATATGTGTGTGTGTGTCTGTGTGCGTGTGTTGAGTTTGGTCCAGATCCATTATCAGTGGGAAACACAGTGCTCTCTGGAAGTGGGCACCATCTTGGCAATAGTATAATATGTTTGCTAAAAGGTAGAAATAACAGCTCTTTATATTAACCTATATGTTCAAATGAACAGATGTTTTTCTCTAATATTACAGGGGACTTTTTAAATGATCCAATTCCTGAAGCTGATCTATACATTTTGGCTAGAATTCTCCACAACCGAGATGATGAGAACTGTGTGGCTCTGCTAACTAAACTACACAAGGCCTGTAAGCCTGGTATGTATACCTAGATAGTACAGGATTAAGACTGCTCTTTATAGCCTATGATGAATGAGTGAAAATTCCTGGGCTCACCAGGAGCAGAATTCAAAACAATCTTGACAGATTAGAGAGATGGGCCAAAACTAACAAAATGAAGTTCAACAGTGACAAATGCAAGATACTCCACTTAGGCAGAAAAAACGAAATGCAAAGATACAGAATGGGGGACAATGCCTGGCTCGAGAGCAGTACGTGTGAAAAAGATCTTGGAGTCCTCGTGAACAACAAGTTAAACATGAGCCAACAATGTGATGTGGCGGCAAAAAAAGCCAATGGGATTTTGGCCTGCATCAATAGGAGCATAGTGTCTAGATCTAGGGAAGTAATGCTACCCCTCTATTCTGCTTTGGTTATGACCACACCTGGAATATTGTGTCCAATTCTGGGCACCACAATTCAAGAGAGATATTGACAAGCTGGAATGTGTCCAGAGGAGGGCGACTAAAATGATCAAGGGTCTGGAGAACAAGCCCTATGAGGAGCGGCTTAAGGAGCTGGGCATGTTTAGCCTGAAGAAGAGAAGGCTAAGAGGAGATATGATAGCCGTGTATAAATATGTGAGAGGAAGCCACAGGGAGGAGGGAGCAAGCTTGTTTTCTGCTTCCTTGGAGACTAGGACGGAACAATGGCTTCAAACTACAAGAGAGGAGATTCCATCTGAACATTAGGAAGAACTTCCTGACTGTGAGAGCTGTTCAGCAGTGGAACTCTCTGCCCCAGAGTTTAGTGGAGGCTCCTTCTTTGGAGGCTTTTAAACAGAGGCTGGATGGCCATCTGTCGGGAGTGCTTTGAAGTGAATTTTCCTGCTTCTTGGCAGGGGGTTGGACTGGATGGCCCATGAGGTCTCTTCCAACTCTTTGATTCTATGATTCTATGTTGCCTTTAATTTGCTTCTGTCCAGACTAGGATCTACAATAACTAGCAGCAATAATTATTAGTTTGAAGACAGCTTTATAAGGAGGGAACCAGAGGTTTAACCTGGGCTCTTTGGGATTCCAGACACATGTTCTGTCATTGACCAACTCCACCATCACACTTCTCCAAAATCTTTTTGGTTTGTCCTCTGGTGATATCCTTTTCCACTCTTCTTAAAGTATCAAGTGAATACAATGTTTCCAGGCCCATTACCTTTAGAAGGTCATTAACCCATCTCTTTGGTTAATGAAAGTTTTCATTACAGTGAGGGTGCACTCAAATAATTACATTAAGAGAAACAGTTAAAGTAGGAGTGGGTAAAGTGAAGTACTCCATATCTTGCAGAATTGCACTTTCTGTCGGCCATCATGAGTACAGCTCATGGCAAGGAGTGGAGGTGTTGCATCTGGACTTAAGTTACTCTCAGAGCCATTATATTGTGGGAACCTTAGCCTTGAGTGGCTGCAGTGTTTCTTCTACAAATCTATCCATGTGTTTGGTGGACTCGCCATAGCAACTGAGGCAAGAGTTTGCATTATTTGGCTCATGCTGATATGGCCTCAGAAGCTAGGCTCTGAGTATCCTTGTGGAGAGAATAAGTGGGGTATAAATAACAATCTCTCTATATAAAAATGTCATGTTCGTTTGTGAGGACATCATAACTTCAAAACCACTGGATGAATTGACACCAGATTTGGCCACAATACACCTAACAACCCAATGAGTGACCATCACTAAAATATGAAAAAAACCCAGCAACAAGGACTAAAAATCCAAAAAAGCTAGAAGATGACACAGTGCATGCACACAAATGACTCCCCTGACCCCGCCCTCTCCTGCACAAGGGCAAAACACCACCAAGTAGCCGAGAAAGAGGGCATGTGATAGAGGGAGGGAAAGGTGGTCCGTTAATTTCTCTCGCTTCTTTCTCTCCTCTGTTACCCTACAACCCCCAGAAGGTGCAAAGAAGTTTCCCTCTTTCGAAACAAAATGCCTTTGGGCTTATCCTCCTCCACCATGCTGGGGGCTTGCGTGGGCCCTCCTTCCCAGTCTCTGCCCCCTTAGAATGCCCTCACGGGCCCCCAACACTTCCTGCTCAGATTGTGCCGAGGACCTCATGTCATCACCCAGCCACAGGCCTTGCAGGTCCCCAGGGTCCTATCTACACATGATGAGGTTTGAATCTGCATTATATCATCAGTGCAGACCAGGCATGGGCCAACTTGTGCCCTCCCTCCAGGTGTTTTGGACTTCAATTCCCACAATTCCTGGCCTCATGCTGCTTCCTTTTCCCTTTCCTCTTAAGTGGCTGAGAGGGAAAAGGAAAGGGCCTGGGACCAGGAATTGCGGGATCTGAAGTCCAAAACACCTAGAGGGAGTGCCCAAGTTTGCCCATGCCTGGTGTACACCCATGTAATGCAGTTCAGTGGCCATAATATAATGCACATTCTGTATGAATAAACATAATAAACATAAACATAAACATAATAATAATAATAATAACAATAATAGAAAAAACATGGCTGTGGCTCACAAATGAAACTTTGAAAAAGGAGACAGAGGGCCTAATTCTGGCAGGCCAAGAACAAGCCATTAGAACCAATGCCATCAAAGCCAGAATTGAAAAGTTGACGACAGATCCCAAGTGTAGACTCTGCACGGGAGCAGATGAAACAATAGATCACATCCTCAGCTTCTGCAAGAAGATTGTGCAGACTGACTACAAGCAGAGGCATAACACCGTTGCTCAGATGATTCATTGGAACTTGTGCCACAAATACCATCTGCTTGCGACAAAAGAGCTGGTGGGATAACAAGCTGGAAAAGTTACAGAGAATGAACATGTCAAGCTACTCTGGAACTTCCAGATTCAGACAGATAGAGTTTTGGAGCACAATACTCCTGACCTCACAATCATGTTAAAAAACGAAGTATGGATTGTCAATGTTGCAATCCCAGGTGACAGCAGAATTGAAGAGAAACAACTGGAAAATATGACATGATACGAGTATTTATAGATTGAACTGCAAAGACTCTGGCACAAACCAGTAAAGGTGGTCCCAGTGGTGATTGGCACACTGGATGCAGTGCCTAAAGACCTTGGCCTGCACTTAAACACAATCGGTGCTGACAAGATTACCATCTGCCAGCTGCAGAAGGCCACCTTATTGGGATCTGCACACATTATTTGCTGATACATCACACAGTCCTAGACACTTGTGAAGTGTCCGATGTGTGATCCAATACAACAGCCAACAGAGTGTCTGCTGTGAACTCATCTTGTTGTGTTTCAAATAATAATGAAAATATAATGTGTGGCCTTGGGGGAGTCATAGCTCTCTCAGCCTCCGAACAAACCTTGTTAAGGAAGACACTGAAAATGACATAAACAACACACAACAAGCACGCATGCATATATATATATAGAGAGAGAGAGAGAGAGAGATCAGCAATTACGAGTAGAGAAACGCGCGCACTCACACTCATTACATATATTATCCCAACGATTGATATACGCACATACCCACAAACATAAACACACACATGTATACACAGATACACATACATGTAGACATTCCATATAAATAAAACATGTAATGTCTGTCTGTAGGGATCTCATATCTCCCAAACCTTGTGAAACTACAAGTTGTTTCTGGTTTGAGAGAATTGACTGTCTCCAAGGATGTTCCCTAGGAGACAAGCAGATGTTTTACCATCCTGTAGCAGGCTCTCCATTGATATGTGAAAGGTCCAGAGTGGGAAAAAGAACTCTTTTCTACTTGAGCCAAGGGTGGATGTTCCAATTACCCACCATGATTACCATTAAATAATTGCCTTGTAGCTTCAAAGCCTGGCTACTTCCTGCCTGTGGGAAACCTTTGTTGGGAGGTGTTACCTAGCTCTGATTGTTTCATGTCTGGAATTAATCTGTTTTCTGAGGGTCCCAGCAATGCGTGGCCGGGTACAGATAATAATAATAATAATAATAATAATAATAATAATAATAATAATAATAGGCTGTTTTATTTCTTGAAAGTTGTTCTTTTAATAAGCATTTGTTCTTTCTCAGTATTTTTGGAATTTGCTTGAGAACTCTTCTAAACATATGTGTCAAGATGTGGTATTTTCGATAGAGCTGTGTAAATTATAATATACAATTTTTTTTGCAAGCTCTACTTTTATACCATTGAAAGACTTTGTCTGTTGTCACAAGAGTGAAGACACAGTGTATGAGATCTTACTGTAGAGGAAGGAGCACACATCTTGTGGACGGCACCCACTGGTCTGGGTTGAAGGGGGAAAGCCATTCCTAACTAACCACGAGAAAGGGCAGCCTGAGTATAGCAATTCCCATTTCATTCTCCAAACAATCCTCAGTCAACAGATCATTAGATTTTCCTGGATAAGAATGGGAGGATTATGCTTTCCTATTTGTGAGGAGATGTGCTTGTGTATGTGTTGAAGTCAGAATGGGGAAAATGTACATTCATCAAGTAAATATGTTACAGAAAATATATCACCTTTTTTTGTACACTGGCATACATTCCCTAGTATTTTTCATGAGAAGGAACATATTCTCAAGTTTTCAAAAAGGTAAAGCAATATTTATTTATTTATTTATTTACAGTATTTATATCCTGCCCTTCTTACCCCGCAGGGGACTCAGGGCGGATTACAGTGTACACATATATGGCAAACATTCAATGCCAATTTGGCATACAACGTATACAGACATACACAGAGGCTATTTAACTTTTTCTGGCCGCCAGGGGAACTGTCGCTTTCATCGTCCATCTGCGACACTGATGAAGTACTTTCGCATTCCCCGCATGCTTTTTGCTGGAGTCTTTTTTATGGCCTCATAAATTAGTTAATTTAGCCTCCCCACACAAGGTGGTACCTAATTTTCCTACTTGACAGATGCAACTGTCTTTCGGGTTGCAAAGGTCGACAACAGGCTACACAATTGGTTGGAAAGCCCACTCCAACCCGGGCTGGCTTCGAACTCATGACCTTTTAGTCAGAGTGATCTTAATGCAGCTGACACTCAGCCAGCTGTGCCACAATCCCAGTGCAATAGGTAATGATGTCCTCTCTTTCCTAAATCACTTGACAGGTGGTGGTGTATTAGTAGTGGAGACAGTTCTCGATGAAGACAGAAGTGGGCCTTTAGTAGCCCACATCTACTCCATAATAATGCTGCTTTGTCTTGATGGAAAAGAACGGACTGTATCCGAGTACAATGCACTCCTTGGTGCAGCTGGATTCAAGGATGTTCAGTACAAGAAAGGACAAGTCTATGATGCTGTTTATGGAAGAAAATAAAATGATTCCACATTAATTTCACTGTTAAATTTATTTATTTATTTATTTATTTACTTTGCTTATATACCGCTGTATCTCAAGCCCGAAGGCGACTCACAGCGGTTCACAAACAGTAAAAACAGTAGAAACAGCAGTGGTTCCATACAACATATAACAATTGACTTAACACATTATCCATAAATTACCAATAAGCAATTACAATGCACAATTATTACAAAAAACAACTGTACCCAATCTTCTCATCATCCAAGCGTAGTCCAGGTTCGTCGTCCATTGTTCCATTCCTATGTTCCATTACCAGATTGCACTAAATTACTCAAACGCCTGCACAAACATCCAGGTCTTCACCTTTTTTGCGGAATACCATTAGAGATGGTGCTAGTCTAATGTCCGTAGGAAGGGCGTTCCACAGCCGAGGAGCCACCACCGAGAAGGCCCTATCTCTCGTCCCCGCCAGCGAGCTTGAGAAGCAGGCGGGATCGAGAGCAGGGTCTCCCCGGAAGATTTCAAAGTCCTGGTGGGTTCATAGGAAGAGATGCGGTCAGATAGGTAGCTTGGGCCGGAACCGTTTAGGGCTTTAAAGGCCAACGCCAGCACTTTGAATTCAGCCCGGTAGCAGATCGGTAGCCAGTGGAGTTGGCGCAACAGGGGGGTTGTATGCTCCCTGCGCTCCGCTCCTGTTAAAATCATGGCTGCCGAGCGTTGGACTAGTTGGAGCTTCCGAGCTGTCTTCAAAGGCAACCCCACGTAGAGAGCGTTGCAGTAGTCTAAACGGGATGTAACCAGAGCGTGGACTACCGTGGCCAAGTCAGACCTCCCAAGGTACGGGCGCAGCTGGCGCACAAGCTTTAGCTGTGCAAATGCTCCCCTGGTCACTGCCGAAACCTGGGGTTCCAGGCTCAGCGATGAGTCCAGGGTCACACCCAAGCTGCGAACCTGCGTCTTCAGGGGGAGTGCGGCCCCATCCAACACAGGCTGTAACCCTATGCCCTGTTCGGCCTTGCGACTGACCAGGAGTACCTCTGTCTTGTCTGGATTCAATTTCAATTTGTTCGCCCTCATCCAGACCGTCACAGCGGCCAAGCACCGGTTCAGGACCTGGACAGCCTCCTTAGTAGCAGGTGGAAAGGAGTGACAGAGTTGGACATCATCCGCGTACAGATGACCCGTACCCCGACGCGTACAGATGACACCGTACCCCGAAACTCCGGATGATCTCCCCCAGCGGCTTCATGCAGATGTTAAACAATATGGGAAACAATATTGAGCCCTGAGGAACCCCACAAGACAATGGTTGTGGGGGTGAACAGGTGTCCCCCAACACCTTCTGAGATCGACCCTCTAGGAATGACCGGAGCCACTGCAGAACAGTACCTCCAAGACCCATCCCCGCGAGGCGTCCCAGAAGAATACCATGGTCGACGGTATCGAAGGCCGCTGAGAGGTCAAGCAGCACCAACAGGGACACATTCCCCCTGTCGAGCTCCCGGCGCAGATCATCCACCAAGGCGTCCAAGGCTGTCTCGGTACCATGTCCCGGCCTAAAGCCAGACTGTGCCGGGTCTAGATAATCTGTGTCTACCAAGAATACCTGGAGTTGTGAGGCCACCACACATTCCAAGACTTTGCCCAAGAAGGGGAGATTGGAAACTGGCCGATAGTTGTCGAATTTAGTGGGGTCCAGTGATGGTTTCTTCAACAGCGGTTTTATTATAGCTTGTTTTAAGCTCGCTGGAATCTTGCCTTCCCGAAGGGAAGCATTAACTACCACCTTAACCCACTCAGCCAATCCCCCTCTGGCCTCCTTTAGAAGCCAGGATGGGCAGGGGTCCAGGATGCATGTGGTTGGCCTCATTCCTCCAAGTATCTTGTCCACATCCTCGGGTTTCACCAATTGAAATGAATCCATCAAAACTGGACAAGCAGGTGCTCGTGTTACATCCTCAGAGACTGCCATTAACATGGTATCCAGACCAGAACGGATCAAAGCGACTTTGTCTGCAAAGAACTGAGCAAAAGCTTCACTGCAAGAAGTTGAATCGTCAGGGTTCCCACCTTGAGCGGAGGGATTTAAAAGGCCTCTGACAATTCGGAACAGCTCAGCCAGACGATTCTTTGCAGACACAATAGTGGCCGCAAAGAAGGCCTTCTTTGCGGCTTTTATTGCCACGGCATATGCCCTTAAAAAGGACACAAACCGTGTTCGATTTGGCTCACTCGGATCCGAACGCCACACACTCTCTAGTTCCCTCTTCCTTCGCTTCATTGCTGCCAGCTCCTCGGTGAACCATGTTCGGTGAACCATGTTCAGATGGAATCTCCTCTTTTGTAGTTTGAAGCCATTGTTCCATTGTGTCCTAGTCTCCAGGGAAGCAGAAAACAAGCTTGCTCTCTCCTCTTCCCTGTGGCTTCCTCTCACATATGTATACATGGCTCTCATCATATCTCCTTTCAGCCTTCTCTTCTTCAGGCTAAACATGCCCAGCTCCTTAAGCCGCTCCTCATAGGGCTTGTTCTCCAGACCCTTGATCATTTTAGTCGCCCTCCTCTGGACACATTCCAGCTGTCTTTGGATGTCAAAGTGTAATAAGAAATTGAATGTGCAAATTTGATAAATGTGAATTTAATATGATGTGTGGGAATGAATGGAAGGATGTATGAATGGAGTGAATGATTTTGGAGACATCAGTAAAATATGAAGGCCTGCAATCACTAACTACCTGCTTGCTGGATTTGCTAATGAGAAACCCTGGTAAGAACTGGGAGAGCGATAAAGGAAATGTTTGCAACCTTCCTTATGTTGAGAAGGAAGTCAACACAAGCCTTGTGTTTGTTAACACCAATCAAAAAGATCAACACTGAGATGGAAGCCAGGACGGAAGACGTCTATCATTAATTTACAACTTTGGGACGACATCGATAGAATATGCCTATAAAAGGCTCAGCCTAATAATGCTCAAAGTGTGACAGACAGAGACACTGTTCACCCGCCATGCTCTGCTCCATGGGAAGGACAGGAATGGTGTATTCGGAGAGTGGCAGATCTGCACAGGAGCAGTCTGGTCACTTTGGGGCTTCTCTCTCAAGGGAAGAGGAAGAAGGAAGGCGCTTTTGGAGTCTTAGATTTTGTGCAGGGAGTCAGGTCCTGTTGTATGGAAAACAGAGATCTGGTCCTTGGCATTGTTCTTAGGGAAGAAGCTTTGGCATTTTGAAGTTATGGCGTTATGGAAGTATGCGTTGGCAGGCTGCAGGAAATCAGGGTCTGGCCTAAGAGGTGCTCCTCCAAGGAGGGAGAAAAGGATATGGTAATATTTGGATGCATGTGGATGAATGCGTGTACATGTGGGTGTGAGTGTTGAGTGAAAATGCAACTCCCCTTTGTTTGTTTGTTAACCAATGTAATTGTACATCCAATGTAGTTGCATGGAATCTGTATGTCTAAATGTTTTTCTGTAATCTGATATACCTTCTCACACTGGCAATTGCAATAAAAAGATCCCATGCTTCAAAGTTATTGAAAAGTCATTCATGACAAAAGCATCCAAAAAATTATTCTGCATGTTGTTCAAGCAATTTGACAGCGCAAACCTCCTCCAAACTCTGCCAGACTCACTCCCAGGGCGCCTGGCATCCCTAACGCACACATTGGACGGAAACGAGCACATTTCAAAACATATCAAAACATAGCGTGCAACCGGTGCCATGCAAGTGCCCTGATTTTCCTTGACACACACACAGACACCTATCTATCTATGAACATGTTGTTCCGGTAAATCCTTGCAGGACACAAGTATGTGTGTGAAGACAAAC